TGTTCTCCGATCTGACCAGCGCTTTGCATTTACCTTGGCTCAGGCTACTATTGTTTTTGTTGGTTTTTCCCCCTCTCATTTATTGCAACAGCTTCCTAATTTCTCTTTCTGCTTTTAGCAGTCTTGCCTACCTTCCCGTCTTTTCTATTATTCCAAGCAGGTAATCCTTCTAAATAAGAAAATCGGATTGTGGTGCCACCTTACTTAAAATCTCTCAAAAACTTCCCCTTTGCTCTTTGGATAAATCCAAATTCATTTGGTAGTTCCTAAGGTCTTGCAGGACCTTCTAGTCCCCCTCCATCTCCACTGATTAAAACTCAATTTATTTCAATTTCTCCATGTTTTATCTTGTTTTCTGGCCTGTACACATTTTCACTCCCACCTCCCCATCCTCCATTCCGCACCTCGGCATTTGGAGCAATTGCCTTCTTCTCTCTCTCTCTCTCTCTCTCTCTCTCGACTGCTTCATCAGGGTTCCATGAAAAATCCGCATAATTCGCCCTTTATATCCTCTGGCAAATAGTAAGTGCTCAACTCACATTTGTTGAGTAAGTTGGTAAAGGCATCTCTCCACGTAGTGCTTTCTTCCCCTTCAGTTCTATGAAGTTCTATGGCACTTACCGAACTCATTATTTGGCCCCTAACGAAACGTTTTGCATTTACTTTTATGATTTTCTAAAAATGTTCAATTTGGTTAGATTTAATGAATTCACACCTGCCACGGGGCTGACACTGGACTGACTTAATTGCAGGGCAATCGAAGATCACCTTAATCTTCCTCCTAGAGAGGGAGCATCTTGTGGGCGGGTGGGGGCCAAGCCCTGGCCATCTGCAAACTTCCCACAGAACATAGCCCAAGAGCCTGGAAAAGGGGCGTAGTAAAATGCTTGGCCTGCAAATCTCAAATTCTGGGTTCAACCATTGACTCTTACAAGCTCTGTGACTTTGAGTAAGTCACTCCTCAAATCTGAACTTATTTCCTCATTGTGATATAAAGACAGAGGAATTACGGTTTCTAACCTGTCAGAGGCTATCAGTTGTCAGATGCACCATTGATTCCAGAACAGATATTGTACTTGTGTTGGGTGTGGGGTGTGAGAAGCATGATGTTAATTGCCTACGCCAATTATAAAATGCGTTCTGATTTCATTAACATGAAAATGAGCAAAAGTGCTTCTTTGAATCAAGGCAATATGATGTCTTTGGAAGTGTTCAGGTGTTCTGAATGTGGAAAACCACTGGGTAACTGTGATTTCCGATGATGGCACGCTCAAATAGAGTTTCTGAGTTAATAGCTGAGTTGACTTTTTCCTTCTTGCTCAGTCTCATCTGTGAAGGATTTGCTCTCATTATTATTGACAATTTCAAACATACATAAAAGTGAGAGCAATGAGCTCTCATGTACCCATTGTCCAGATGCAACAAAAATCAATACAAGAGCTCGTTTCATCGTTATTCCTATGCAGTTCCCCATATAATAGCATTTGTGAATACTTTAAAGGAATATTATCTAATGGTCATTTACCTTGCACTGTCTTCTAATCAGAGATACAATATTTTTTCCTGGAGGTGTTTGCAAGCTTAGTGTGCATTGTATATTTTTCCAGAAAGGTTTATATTAACCCAGTTGAGAAACAGACATCTCCTTAAGAAGGCCTCTAGCCAATGATAGTTGCTAAGGGTGGGAAATGGAAATTTTTTTGTTCCTATATATCTGAATATCTTCCAGTTTTATTTTTTAAAAAAATATCTTATTTATTTATTTGAGAAAGAAAGCGTGAGAGAGAGCATAACCAGGGGAAGGGGCAGAGGGAGAGGAAGAAGCAGACTCCTCACTGAGTGGGGAGCCCAATGCAGGACTCCATCCCAGGACTCTGGGATTCATGACCTGAACAGAAGGCAGATGCTGAACCGACTGAGCCACCCAGGCACCCATATCTTCCAGTTTTAAAACCAGTTCTCAATGTAGTATGCAAAATCAGAAATTGACTTGGGTAAGTTTATGGGTTTGTTTGTTTGATTGTTGATAGCTTGCTGATTTCTTTTGTGTTTTGTCTCCATGGGTTTAATCATTATATGATATGGTTCCAACAATAGTGTATTAGATCATTACAGACATTAGTATTTTTGGCAGATTTTTAAATTCAGAGTGTACTTTCTCTCCAGAATGCACTACAAAATCTACTATATGGATATGAATGTGTGCCTATGAACCAAAGATAAAAGTCTATGCATAATTTTCTAAAATAATTTTGTTACTCCATATATATTACATTTTGCAACTGTGTTCAGGTGCAGTACGGATGCTCTGAAAAACCAGTTTTCTCTTTCTTTCTAATACATTTCAGTCTATCAGTGCTAGTGGTAATGCCCAAACATGGCTATATATAAATATTTACTTAGACAGGGGCACCTGGGTGGCTCAGATGGTTAAGCGTCTGCCTTCTGCTCAGGTCATGATCCCAGGGTCCTGGGATCGAGTCCCGCATCGGGCTCCCTGCTTGGCGGGGAGCCTGCTTCTCCCCCTCCCTCTGCTTCTCCCCCTGCTCACGTTCTCTCTCTCTCTCTCTCTCTGTGTCTCGAATGGATAAATAAAAAAATCTTTATAAAAAATATTTACTTAGATAAAGCCATAGTTCATCTCATTTATAGTGACAATCAGTGTCATGTGGTGGTTTAACATGAATTAAGACAGTATAGGCAGGGATGACCTTACAATTCTGGAAGTTAAAGGGCAGTTTCACTGAGGAAAAGTTTGTGGCATTGGAGCGGTGGGTAGATTTCAGTAAATAAGCACTCGTTTCAGAATTCGAAATGCATTCTCTAAGCTGGCATCACTGATTCTGTTGTGCAGGTGGACGTTTACCACGGGCTGGGTTAGGCAGCATTATGAACAGTGCTCCTTGCTGTTCTGAAACATATTTGAATTTTGCACCCAAAATCAGCCAGTCCTTTTTCGGCATCGAGATAGGAGGTTTATTTGAATCCGTGCCTTCAGAGATGCTGGAACCAATCAAGACCCTTCTTGCAGTGGAAAAAAAAATGGAATCTTTTATTGAAACCCCAGCTTTCTCTACAAGATGCCAAGGAGCACTGAATTACAGGACTGCCATACAGCCTTTCCTTTATTCTTTCCATCACCCAGGGCCACAGGAAAAAAAAAAATCTTTTGTCCTTATTTTCACAAGTTACCACATGGTTTGGAACCTTCAGGGCTACTTCTGAAACTCCATTGGTGTGTGCCAGAAAAATCCTCTTTAACACACACAGTTGAATGGAAGATAGTTTTGAGATGTTAATTTCCATTTATTGCACAAAAAAGATATTTAATGCACAAAAGAAACGTCCAACTTAAAGCAACTTCCAATTTTTGAGAAAAACATCAGGGAGCCTGAGGCCACAAGCTTTAAAACCAATCAGTTAACAAATGTTAATTGAACACCTATTTTGCACAAGCCTGTTGAGGAGGTTTTATAAGTCTGAGATAAAGCCCTGCCCTCAAATTGCCCAGAGCCTAGGTAGTCGGGCAGACAAATCCAAACTCAGGGAACAAAGCAAGTTAAGCAGTAAAACCAGATAAATATATAAGCAGTGTAAGAAGGCACCGTATGGTTTGGGCTTACAAATGTTTCAGGCAATATACTCTGCTGATTTTGAATACAGCGAGCACAGTACCCTGAAAACCCCTGAAAATCTTCACAGAGAAGGTACACATTGGGCTGGATTGAAAACACAGGTAAGAACCAAATAGCCTTAATGGGTTGGGAAAAGCAAATAGTCTTGGAAAGAGTCAGGTTGTCAGAGGGGGATGTGGGAGAGGTTAGAAGTGTAGCAAGGACCACATCGGGACATGCCTTAATGGTAACACCAGGCAGAGAGGCTGAAGATTACTTTTGCCCATCCAAGGTCAACAGCAATGTTTAGAACTAGGGGATTCCCTTCCTTTTCCTCCCTCCCCTCTTTCTGTCCTTTAAAAACAGAACCTGATTCGACAGAGCCCTTCCCAGCTGCCAGGAAAGAAAGCAGCAAGCGAGGCGCTCACAAGTATTCCTGGCCCCGAAATTGTCTCTCTGGGGGTGGGGTCTGGGGAAGTCGAGGGAGTGGGGCCAGGTAGCACCAGACCTATCAGCAGCCCTGATCCGGGTTCTGTGAACACTGCTCAGCTAGCTCTCTAAGTCCTGGGGTTAAAGGAGTTGCCGCCGCGAGTGAAAGGCTTTTTCCAAAGCGCTCTCTCAATTCCAAGGTCTTGCGATTGTGGCTGGGCACATAAAAAAGTGTCTTCTCCCCATATGGTTAGTGTTTCCAGGTTTCGTCTAGCTCCTGCTCACCAGGAATAGAAAATTAATCACGCTGATGAAAAGACAGCATGTCACAGGGAGGGCTGTTACAGGAAAGTGCGGAACAGGGTCGCAGACAGAACGGGCTTCCGTGCAGACGGGTCTGCGGAATCGGCGTGCCTCTGCAGTCTCCCATCCTCGCGCTCCCTCGGCCGCCGGGAGGTGGGGACAGGGAACCGGGAAGCCCGGGAACACCCGGCTCGCCCCGCTCGCAGCCAGCAGATGGCTCCCGGGCTCGCGCTCCCTCGCTCCCTCGCCGCATCTCCAGACGCAGGGCCCGGGTGGTTTAGGAGCGAGCTGCAAGCAAGGGCGCCCGCCTGCCCGCCGCCGCCGCCGCCGCCGCCGCCCCGCGCAGCCGCCCTCCCCGCGGTGCGCCCCGCGCTAGGGAGCGAGCGCCGGGCGCGGGGGGCCGGCCTGGGACCCGTGCGGAGGCCGGCTCTCGCGAGGTGAGGAGGAGCCGCCGGAGGAGGAGGGGGAGGAGACGCAGGAGGAGAAGGCGGGGGAGGAGGGAGGGGAGGGGGGGGAGGGGAGGGGGGGGGGGGGAGGGGGGGGGGGAGGGGAGGAGGGGGAGGAGAAGGAGGGCCGGAGCTGCCCCCGCCCAACCCCAGCCCGGCAGGAGCGCGAGGAAACCTTAGCCCTGCCGCGCCGCGCCGCTCTCCCCGCCCTCTCCGCACGCCTTCCGCCTTCACCTAGGGCCGTAGGTGCGGCGCGGGGCTGGGCGCTAGCTGGCCGCGGCTGGAGCAGCGCCGCCGGGAGCCGGGAGCCGGGAGCCGGGAGCCGCGAGCCGGGAGCCGCCGCCGCGCGCGCCCGCGCGGAATCCCCGGGTCTCCGTTCCGCCGCCGGGAACTGCGGGGAGGCGACATGTAGCAGCGGCTGCAGCAGAACCGCTTCGTATTTGCAACTCTTTTTTTTTTTTTTTTTTGAGGGGCGGGGGGCGCGGCAAAATTGTATCTCCGCCCTCGCTTTCTTGCCTACTCCCGTGCGCAAGCTGCATCTGCCTCTAAAAATTGAGGGGCTTGGGGGAGGGCGGGGGGCCGTAAATCAGAGTTGGACCGGCACTGCCCCCGCGCCTGGAGGGCCACCATGACCGAGGAGAGCTCCGAGGTTCCCAGGGAGCTGACAGGTAAGAGTGGCGCCGCCGCGGGCTTCCCTCCTCGCCTTCCCCCTGCCCTCCTCCGCCTTCCCGCAGGTCCCGCGAAGTCGCGGCGCCCCTCAGGTCGCCGCCGTGCTGGGCGGGGCGCCGGGAACTTTGCTCGCGTCTCGCCGCCTGGGAAGCCCAGTTCGGGGAGGGCGGCCGTGGGGGGCAGCGGGGGCCCCGGAGTCCGGGGCGCCTCCCCAGCCGGGACCCGGGGTGGGGGGGAAGGTCGCCGTGGGCGGAAGAGAGGGGAGGGCTGCCTCGGGCTTGGGAGTTCTGGAAGCGAGGAGCACCCTGTACAGCGACCAGCCCACCGCCCCAAACTCGGGGAAGTCCGGGAAAGGCCAGCGCGGGGCCAGGGGGCGAGCGCCCAGCGGGTCGTCTCCGGCACCTGCCCGGCCGCAACCCTCCGCCTCCCCCTCCCCCCTCTCCGGGCGAGGTGCTCCTCCCCGCCCCCCGGCGAGGTGCTCCTCCCACACGCAGCCTCGGGGGAGGGGGCGCTAGTCTGGAGTGCCGACTGAGCCGAGCGGGGCTTGGCTTCGCCCAGCCCGCGGGGAGCGAAACGGTTACAGGAGTGACGCATGCTCGGGCCGGGAAACTGAGGGTTAATGGTACAAGCTTATTTTAATAATAATTAACCTACCGATTCTCCCCATCCCGCATCTCAGGGAACCAGTGTGCAAGGTGACCAGTTGTTTGAGTCCCTTGAGGTTTTTTTTATGTTTTTTTTTTTGGTGTGTGTGTTGGGGGGGTAGTTGGGCTGGATTTTATGTCTTCGGGTTTAACTTAATTATGTGGAGGGTTAAAATGGCAGAGTTAAAATGAGGTGGGGATGAGTGTTTGAAAACCCAGCGTTTAAGCGTGTGTGTATGTAGAACACGTTGTATTTTACCAAGGTGTGTGTGTCTCTGCGCGCGTGTTTTGAGCCCTAGGGACCTGTATTCCTTACTGTACCATCCTTGGCACACTACACAGAAAGATGCTGTGTAATCGGGGCTGACAGCCGGGGGGAGTTCTGCCTGCCCATTCATCTGCACTTGAGAAATTTGCCCCTTGGTCTCTCCTCTTAGCCATAATACTTTGGAAGAGTTGTGTGCCCTCTTCCATTAGTACCTAACTCAGCAGGTGACACTTGATGTGGAGAAGGTGTTGCTAGGTTTGTATGAAAGCTTCAGCTTTTGTTAAATTAAAACCCCAAAAAACCCTTACTTTTCACCCAAATTTAGGATATGAAGTTACCGCCCCCTTCCCCCACTCTGGCTTCTTCTCTCTCCCCAACCCTGTGGAGTCGGCTCCTGAGATAAAGCATCAGCTGCCTTTGCTGGAGTGAGTGGCCCATCCGGTTCTGGGAGGCTGAGGTCTTCCCAGCACCCTACCCGGAAGAGGAAAGAATGCCCAGAGTCTCTGCAGATGCCTCCCAAGGTCCTGCCAAAGTTTGGGGGGAGGGCTGGCCTCCCTGGCCAGGGGAGAAGGATGGCCAAAGAGGTGGGCAGATTTTTAAGTTAGTTGACCTTGAGCCCGGTAATGAAAAGTTAGGTAGTTATCAGACTCAAGAGAGAGGGGAGGGATGGAAATAAGATACCTGGTTTATGTGAATGGTTCTCAAAATAAGTCCTTTGGTATGTTTGAAAAAGGCGAGTTAATCCTTATCTAGACATGGAATTTGTGTGTTTATTGAGTCTTGCCCAGCTCACATATCCTTCAACCAAGTGACACATGCTTTTGTGACATGCCCAGTACGATTTTTCTGGGCCTTTAAATGGCCTAATTAGCCTGGGACAGGGGAAATTCCTGCCCCTGCTTTTCTCTCATTACAAGTGCTCACAGAGTTACACTCAGATCAATTCAAAATGGCAACCATGTGAAAACCTCAGTGTATTCCCTTAAGCTAATCCCCGAAGACAGAAAAAAATGCGGTGCGTATCTCTCTGATAATGGAAGAAATACGGGTTTTTATGAAAAATTTTAAGTGCTAAGAAGAATGAGAAGACTATCTGTCAACCGTATTGCCTCTCTGAGATAGCTACCTTTAACCTTTTGGTGTCAAACTTTCCAGTCCTGTTCCACGTGTGTATGTTCTTACTGTTTTTTTCCAAAAATTTATTTATTCTAGAGAGAAAGAGCACGAGGGGGAGAGGGAGAGAGAATCCCAAGCATACTCCACATCCAGTGCGGAGCCTGACACGGGGCTGGTCCCGCCACCCGAGATCTTGACCCCACCTGAGCCAAAACCAAGAGTGGGGGGGGGGTTCAGCCGACTGCACCATCCAGGCGCCCCGCTTAAGTCTGTTGCTGATGTTCCTTTCCCACATGCCTTTTTAAGGGGGGGGGGAGGAGTAGCCTTTATCTGTTTTGAGCTCTGGTAAGATAGGAGCTGCGTAGAGAACTCCCAGCACAGTGAGGTCCCCCACTTGTCCCCTTTCTTCCCCAAACGTCCCGCCTGGTTGCTGGTCCCCCCACAAGCTGCACTTTCTCTTGTTTCCATTCTCTTCTCCGTGTGGGCGACGCTCTTCCGTCTTCTTCACTCTTACCTAACAGCAGCTCTAAACTTTTGTGGTGGGTTTCCGATAAGTATATTTGATTACCGCTTCGTAAACATATTTATTTACTTAACTACATATATACTTCATTTGTAATTTAAAACATAAACTGGAGTACATGGCAAATAGAAGTAAAAATTCCATTTTCTTCCTCCACCTCAGTGGATTATATAGTACGCTGTACTTTGGACTTGTGGCCTATGTCCTGCTCCTTTAAGGTTCTGCTCAGGGGTCCCTTCCTCCCCGAAACTTTCGGGAATCTCCTTGTCCATGATCTCTTGGTAGTGAGTGTGGATTTGCCTAGAGGCATTTATCTGTGCTCTCTAGGTCGTAAGCACCTATGAAAGGCAGAGGCTGTCTGAGTCCCAGCACCTAGTCGAACGCTTGGCACACAGGAGCTCCTCCTGTGTCCATATATTTGTTGAATATATGAATAAGCCAAGATGATTACAATATAGAATACAGAGCTTCGGAAGTAAAGAGGAGGTTGCCATATATAGATATTTATTTAAAGATTTTATTTATTCGTTTGACAGCAAGAGTGGGAGAGAGCACAAGCAGGGGGAGCGGCAGGCAGAGGGAGGAGGAGAGGCAGGCTCCCCGCTGAGCAGGGAGTGAGCCCGACGTGGGGCTCCATCCCCAGACCTTGGGATCATGACCTGAGCCGGAGGCAGATGCTTAACCGACTGAGCCACCGAGGCACCTGAGGTTGCTATATTTGGAAGTAGAACGTAACCAGGAGGAGACGAGGGAAAGGGCATCCCAGGAAAGAGAATAGTAGGTACAGAATCCTGGGGGTGTACAGGATGGAGATGGTGGGGATGATTGGATTGTTAAGTGTGTGTGTTGAGAAGTTAAACTGAAAACACTGTGGAAGGCCTTGAGTGGCCTGCTAGAGGGTTGAGGTTTATCCAAAAATGAAGCAGCTCATAGAGCAAGAGTGATGTGATCAGACCTGTGATTTTTTGGAGGGTCCCTTTGGTAAGGGAGGGACAGAGAGCTGGTAAGTGGGACATCATGGACTTGTGTTGGGGAGAGATTCTGAGCCCTTGAATGCGGGGGTCGGGAGCTGTTTAGGAGGTAGTTCTAGGAGAGTGGGTGACTGGCTTCCTATCTGATAGGAAACAAAATTTCCAGCTTCGTTAGTGGCCAGAGGAGTGGGGAGGAGAAGGAGTTTGATTTAGGGCCTGTTCCATTTGGAGCCCTCCCCGGAGTCGTTCCTGCCACCATCCAGATTTTGAAGTCTCCCCGTCTCTCTTGATTCCTCCTTTCTTGTTGTCTTTGACCAGTCTTTGGGGGTGTCGTGCTGTGATGTCTTCGGAAGGACAGATGGCCAGGATCACCCTTCCCTGGCCAAATTGTCCAGTCTGGCTCTGGTTCTTTGCCATAGTTCCCAACTGTGATGTCAGGCACTCCTAGAAAATGGTAATATTTCTATGCCACTGTGATGAACACAGAGGCTGCTAGGGGCCAGAGGCCAAGGGAGTTTTTGAATTCCTATTGTGCTTACGGTCTGCATGCAACACAGGCCTCCATGAACCTTCCTGATTGTTGCTCATGTTTTTTCTTGTGTGTGCATCCACTTGCCCAGCGAGATGATATTGTGCCTTGTATGAACTGGTATTAGGTCACATGCTTTTATATTTGCCTCCGCATCTGATCACGCAGTACAACGCACATAGTAGGTGATCATAAACTATGGGGTGACTGATAGCTATCAGGCTTGTTAAAACAAACTAAAAAAAAAAAAAAAAGACAAACCACAATAATAAGAACAACCAAAAATACTCCTTGAAATGTTCTCCCCTCTCCAGTGTTTTTTTCTTATTAATAAAAGAATATAATGAAACTCTTTACTTCTTTCAGAAAGCATAAAGGATGTTATTGGCAGAAAGATAAAAATTGCAGTGAAGAAGAAAGTAAAGTTGGAAGTAAAGGGAGACAAAGTTGAAAACAAAGTGCTGGTAAGTATTTTCGTTTCTTATAATGTTTGGAAGTGAAAGTGTTTTTCCTCTCCATTGTTTTGATTGCTTAATTTCCTTGAAACTCAAGTGCTGTGTTTCATATTTTGCTGGAAAGTTCTCAGGGCCATTTTGTCCTGAATTAATTGGAATATCTGCCCGTTGAAAGGTAACAGTAGGATATTTACATTTTTGAGATGGAGGTTATTTCTTAAAATTGTCCCAGTCACCCACACTGAGGTCATCTCCTACAGCCTGTTTTCAAATTATTCGATTTGATGTGAAATGGAGCTTATTTATAGTTATCTTTGTTGTGGCTGGTTGTATGATTTCATTTGTGAGGACTCAGGGAGGAGTTTAAAAAATTCATCTCATGTTGGTTTAAGTAGGTAAATGTTCTCAGATGTTATATTGGAGTCCATCTCAAGGCGAAGAAGACGCCTGTTATTTCATGGGACATTTGGTGTTTTGAAGGGAAATGGCTGGTGCAGGCATTTTATCTGCTGAGATTGGATTTGGGGTCCCCCAGCGTGTGGGGGAGCTGTTAGGGGCCCAGGGGTTGGACCATGTTGGGCACAGAGTGGGGGAGGGCATCGTCAGTTATTGGACTATACCTTTAGAGAGGTGAGGAGCCTTGTGGCATTATAGTGGCTCTTAGGTTGAGATTGTGGCAAACCTAGATTTAGCCTTAGGGGAGTACACCTTGTTTGTGTTTTTGTTGGAGAGAATATTCTATGTATCTTTTTATCATTGGCAATTTTCAAACATATGCAAAAGTAGAGATTAGCATATTGAACCCCGTGTGTGTTCATCCAGCTTAAACAGGTTTTCGTGTTTTACCAATATTGTTGATCTCCCCACTGTTTTTTTTCCCCCTCTTGGAGTTTTTTAAAACAAATCCCAAGCACCTGTCATTGAAAGAGAATATTTTTAATATTCTGTTTCTTCAGTTGAATTTGCCACAGAATCGCAAGTGTCGTTCTGATAACATCTGTCTTGAGAATCTTTTAGAATATCTGAGTGCCTTCCCCTGTAGATGGAAGGATTATGTTGTTGGTGGACGACTTCTCTTTCTCTGTGGTCCTTGTGTACAAGTCAGGATGGCAGAGAAATCGAAGTGGAAAACTTGACGGAGGGGCTTTGGCCCTGTGACAAAGCGTGTTCATGTAGCCTGCATTATTAGAGTTACCAAGAGCAGAATCAATGGGTGCCATCATTCTGATTTATTTTGCTTTAATAAAGAGTAAATTCCCTTAGAGTATATGTTACTCAATGTTACAGGTTAGTGGTATTTTGGGGAGGTGGTAGAGGAGAGAGAAGACATTTTGTTTCCACTGTTTGTTGTTTTATACATTTAAAGTAAATCTTTACATGGATGGATCCACCTTTATCTAACTAAGTTGTCATTGTCAAGTAGTGTTTGCTACAACCGTCTGACCTGGTGTGTGGTATTATTTGGTATGGATACTGTTCATCATACTAGGAAGGAGCCCATGCCATGAGTAAAATCTACAAAGTGAAAATTACAAAGACAAACTTAAGTGTCCAATATAACAAAATTAGCATCATTTACAAATAGTTATGATTAGTACTTAATGGTAAGGACCCTCCCCCATACACCCCAACCCCCCCAGCTCCCCACTCATCTCAAATAAGCTGGAGTTAAGGTTGTAACCAAATTTTACACGTCTTTGTATGTAAGCATTTATTTTCCCAAATCTGGAACCTAAGTACTTTCTGATAATTTGGCATAAACTTGTTTTGACTTTTCCTTACATGTATGGACAGGAATTATTAATTGAAATACTCGGAGTCTGACAATCTTAATAGAAATATTCAGGTCGGAGCAAAATGGTTAGTGACAAACTGACCTTCACATTGTTGATTTTGGAGTTTCTGGATTGAGAGAAGTTCAATTACTTAAATGAAAACACTGGGGGAATCTCTTTATAATGTTCATTTCTGACTTTCTTTGGCTGTCAGTCCACTAATATCGGTAGTAAATGAGTTGGTTTCATACTTCAGTATATCTTGTTTCAGTTTTCTTTCTTTTCTCACAGTGCCTGCTCTTAGCCTCCTTCCTCCTAAGGCTGGGGGTGTGTGTGTTATATGTCACTTAGTCCCCTCTTTTTACAGTGGAGACTTTATATGATTTGTAGCTTATCTTCAGTAGAGGGTTTATCTTCATCTTCCTTCTTCTCATGGTCATAATAGCTAATATTTATTGAACATTGACCAAGTGCTAGGCTCTTTGCCCAACACTTAATTATGCATTACCTGATTCAATCTCGCAGCAACTCCGTGAGGTGAGGTAGGCACTATTTACATCTTTATTCAGATTTGGAGAGGCTAAATAAATTGCTTCAGCTCATTTAGCTAGTTAATGACAGCTGGGATTTGAACCCAGATCTGCCTCACTCAGAGCCTGTTTCACCATTATTTTTTTAAAGATTTTATTCACTTATTAGAGAGAGAGAGAGCATGAGTGGGGGAAGGGGCCGAGGGAGAGGGAGAAGCAGACTCCCTGCTGATCAGGGAGCCCAACAAGGATCCCAGGACCCTTAGATCATGACCTGAGCCCAAGGCAGACGCTTAACTGACTGAGCCACCCAGGCGTCCCCTGCTTCACCATTATTCTCCAAATAAAAAGAAAATATCTTTTGGCTTGTTGTTCACTCTGTCACCAAATGATCAGGAAGATTTGGACCTTAGAAGGATCAGGAATCCTTGTGTTTATTTGGTTGATTGATTGATGTATACATAACTTCCAGACTGATTGAGCACGTGCCGTGTGCCATGCCTAGTGCATGCACAAGACTTCATGTATCCAGAGCCCACAGTCTCGCTGGGGAGGTAAACATGTCAGGGGGCCGTGCTTTGAGCTGTGCTATGAGCAGAATGACTGGAGGGCGGTCATCACAGCACATCAGAGGGACCCTAGACTCAGGCTGGTGCATCAGGGAAGAGTTCTTGAAGGAAGGCAACCCTAAGCTGACAATGAGTAGGGGTAGGAGTTGCCAAGGGGAGAGAGTAGAGACGTGTTGTGGACAAAGGGAACAGAACAAACCTGGAAGCCAGAAGGGGTTTACATGTTAGAGAAACCTCCGCAGAAGTAGGGGCTGGAGCAGGTGCGAAGTGGAGAGTGGCCAGGCATGGAGGGGATGCCTGTCCTTGCTATCAGGTGAAACCGGGACTGGTTAAAGAGGTCTCTTCTCACCACCTGTTTCTAATAATCTTTCCGTGCACTTTATCCTCTGGTGTCCAGGGAGGCAGTAGGGTTCAGTGGTTAAGGACTTGGGCCCTGGAGTCACACCTGAGTCACACTGCAGCCCAGCCGCATTATAACATTGTGAAGCCTCCTTCCTTTCGCTAATGAAACAGGTGTGCAACAGTATCTGTTTGTTCCTGGCTGCTTTGAAGCCAGGGATATGTTTTAATATGGCTTGGTGCAATGCCCAGCACATGATAAACAGCCACCGAATGATAAAGCAAGAGGAACCGAGAGATCCTACCTTGTTTTCCAAGTGGCACTGAAAATGCCACTCCAGATACCCGAGCATCTTTTGCCCTTATTTATTTATTTTTAAAAGATTTTATGTATTTATTCATGAGAGACAGAGAGAGAGAGAGAGAGAAGCAGAGGGAGAAGCAGGCTCTCCGCTGAGCAGGGAGCCAGTTGTGGGACTCGATCCCAGGACCCTGGGATCATGGCCTGAGCCGAAGGCAGACGCTTTAACCATCTGAGCCACCCAGGCGCCCATCTCTTGCCTTTATTGAGGGGTTGAGTTCAGTTCACCATAAGGCCAAGAAGAATATTTAGAGCTATGTCTCCTTTTCAGCAGGATGGAGTGCAACTGACCAGATATGAAATTCTGCAGGTAGGGCTCTGGTCACATGGAATCAGAAATGCTAGGATGTGCAGGGGGCAGGGAGATCTGTGGTCACATTCATTTGGCAATCAGGGTGTTAAAGATAAACCAGTGTCTTTACTATATGGCTTTTCAGAGCCATTAATACATCGATGCGCATGGTTGATTCCCAAGAATGAGTTGGAGTGTGCTTTCTCAATCTTACTTGGCCAGAGACCCTAATGACTATAGGTTAGGAAACCAGGGTGGAGCAGACCTGAGCTGGGGCCTCTGGGGACAGTTAAAGGGAAGATAGAAGAGGCTGGAACAGGCTGTCCATCCTTAGGACTGTTCTCCGGGGGTACGGTCGCTGGGCCCAGTACTTTTTATCTAAGTGGCGGGCGGGTCCGCTGAAGGCCACACACTGGTACATGTCATCTGTTGCTATAATACCTTCTCTCTTGTCCGTAGGGCATGTCACCAGGAAGTGATTTTGTCTGTCTTAGACTCTTACTCCATTTTCTCATTTGCTAGTTGAATCTTTATCCAATTTTTGTGGTACCTGGACTTTTATTTATTTATTTATTTATATTTATTTGTTTATTTAAAGATTTTTATTTATTTGAGAGAGTGAGCGAAGGGGTACAAGCAGGGGGAGTGGCAGGGGAAGGGAGAAGCAGACTTCCCTCTGAGCAGGGAGCCTGACCTGGGGCTTGCACCCAGGACCCCGGGATCATGACCTGAGCTGAGGGCAGATGCTTAACCCACTGAGCCACCCGGGCACCCTGGTACCTGGACTTTTAAAACTGTTTGAATTTATGCATTTTTTTTTTTTAAGTTAAACTTTTCAGTTTTGGATCATTGTAGATTTACATGCAGTTGTGAGAAGTCATACAGAGAGATCCTTGGTACCCTTTACCCAGTTTCTCCCGTATTGCAAAATCACATTCAGGATATTGCTGTGCAATGCAGAACATTTCCACCACCACAAGGACGACTCCTCCTGCGTCTCTGGGCCACACCCACGTACCCACTTCTCTGACCCCTGGGAGCTGCTAATGTGGTCTTCATTTTTAAAATTTTGTTACTTCAAAAATGTTATGTAAGTGTAATCACACAGAATATATATGCCTTTGGGGGATTTTTTTCTTTTTT